GTTGGCCGCCAAGTCGGGGTGCGAAAGCATCCGAATTTTTTTTTTTTTTTTATCTCTCCACGCTTTGCTACCGATTCTTTGATCAATCCACTCACCTTGCTCGGTTCATTTCTCGAAGCGTGGACGAAATGAACGCGAGCCACGGGCTAAAACGCCAACTTTCACGAGCGATCGTCGTTTCCCTTTTGCGAGTTCAAAGTTGGCCATTTACGCCGAGCGAAAATTACACCGGTTCGATTTTTTTCGCACGCTCGCGAGTTATCCATCTCTCGACGGTCTCTCTCTCTCTCTCTCTCTCTCGAGGGTTAACGGTCTGTCATTCAGCCGGTTTAACGCAAGTTTTCAATGTTCCTTACGTAATTCAACCGTGTATTGGCCAACGCGTCATGGAAATGTCAGCAAACCGCCCACAAATGGAATGGTCGCGCTGCGTGTAGGACATGCACGTATGCACGGATCACATCCTTACTCCGAGGCCCCGTGGAGTTAAAAAGAAAAGAAAAGAAAAGAAAAAAACTGGCTAGGCCTTTGTCGAAGTATAATCGACGATCGTCAATCATCGTCGTTAACGATGGAAGTCGATATAATCGCGACGATCGAACCGGACTATAAGCGTACGATGCTGTTAACCGAGCTATAAACGGTCGAGGAGTCAACGACATAAGATATGCTCGAGACCAAGTGGCGATTACGTATACACACGTATATACATACGTCCACGAAGGAATTTACGCGGTGATAGGAAATCGTGTTTTCCATATTCCTTCGAGTTCGAATCGCGTTTTTCGCCTTCGTTCCGTTGGATTTCTCGAAATACGGATCTCTGACGATCGCCTTTCTTCGCGAGGCGATTTTACAAATTTTGGATCGTCGGAAGAAAGGAAAGAAGAAAGGAAGGAAGGAAAAAGAAAAAAAAGAAATTAAAATCAAATTATCCGGCAATATATGTTCCACATGTAAATGGAACATGGGAAGATACTAGCGAGAGATTTCCAGATGGTGGAGAGAGTGGTGGAGGGGAGAAAAAAAAAGAGAGAGAGAAAAATGGATAGCGGGTCCTTTCACTCGTGAGTCAGGACGAAAAATATGTTAATTAGGCAGCGGTTCGGCTCGTTTGGCTCGGCTATCGTTATTCAAGATTCCTATATATAGGCAGCTAGAGACACATCGGCTCACACATTTTCCTTGCGGCTCGTCTACTCGATATTTGGCGATGCCAAGTACCCGTTTCACGTGGGCGGGCCGACCATATATGCCGGCCGGAAAGGTTCTTGAACGCATCCAACGCGCCTCGAGCTTTCCATCCTCGCTTCTTCCCTTTATCTCCGCTTCGTAAACGACGCGTTTGGAAGCAGCTCGGCGCGTCCCAAATGTCACCGAACGACTCTTTAAACCCGTGAACGTGTGGGAGATTGAAATCTCTTAAAAGGAAAGCTTGACCGATTCGCGGGGGAAATTTGATTTCGGATTGGTTTTGGAATGGAATATGGGATCCATGGCCGAGCGTCGAGGAGGCGAGCAATTAAAAAAAAAAAGAAAAAACTTCTCCCAATTGGAAGGCGAAGACTCGCTTCGCTTCGGCCTTGTCCCGCTTCGCACGTAATTATGAGCGAGTCACGATCGCGCGATGGAATGACGTATTTTTCCTTTACTCTCCTCTGCATCCTTTGCCTTTGTCTTTTACTCTTTCTTTTCTCTCCCTTTGTTCTTTTTTTATTTTACATTTCACGGTCGAGGGAGAACGAGACGCGCATCTTCGTTTGGACGAAAGGCGAGCGTCTCGTTTCGATCGAACGACGATGCCCCGGGCGATTGACATTTGCAAACATGATCCAAACCTTTCACCGTTTTGCAATTAACGCGGGATCCGATCGCGGGAATGGTCATTCCTATCGACTTATCGGATGATTCGTTCTTTCTTTTCTTTCTATTTTGGAAATAAATCTCGGCGAGCAATTGAATGGAATTTTTTGATTTGTTTGATCGCAGGGTGTCCTGATCACGGACGTCGAGGAGGGCCAACCTTGTTTGCAATGCGGGGATTCGTGTTCAGGATTCTCACCGCACACGTGGAGGTAAGGAACAGTAGATGGAAAATTTCTTTTTAATCTCAGTGTTAACGCGGTTAATCGGATAAGCATGTTAATTCATTTCCGTTTCCGCGGAGATAAGAACGAGAGAAAAATAAAGGGAAAAAAGGAAACGAGCTTGCGCAAAAACTGCTGAATGGCATTTAACAAGTCGATCTTCCTCCACTCGGTCTTTGACACACTTCCACGTCTTCTTTTCCCACGTCTTACGTTGACACTCGTCCGCGATCCGCTCCAATGATCGATCAATCTCCCAATCTCTCAACCTTTCGATTACACCGTCTAATGGATTCTATCGTGTTTCTTCTTAATCTGTTACGAATAATTCCGTTATATCAGCCGGAAGAAGGGCAGGGTATATCAGATCTCAACTAAGTATCGATCGAGATGGAAAGTCGTTTCGGGAAAAATTTGAATCTCGCGAGAACAGCGTGGCGCGAATCGAGTCGAATCGAGTCGAATCGAAAGTTTCGACGAACGAAAGAGAGGGAGGGGGGAAAAAAGGCGATGAAACGGGACAAAGAAACGGTGCGCAAGATCGATCGATGTGCAAGAATGATTCGCAACGTATCCATTATCCCGAGCGTAACTGAACAGCGGTGAAATTACCGGTGAGGTAATTATCCTTGGAGGTGATTTACGGAGCAGCAATGCGGTAATAAACGAATTAATTGGCCGGGGAAGCGGAGGAGAGTCTCGATTCTCCTTCCAACGTGGCTCGTAGAGAGGGGAGAGGTGTGGGGGGCAGAGCGTCGTGCTCGGTTGCATTTATAACCAGTGAAATGGGATTCGTACAGTTACTCGTGATTCGGCCATTCGAATCCGTGCATAACGGTTGGAAATTACCTTATTCATCTTATCCTTGTATTTCGTTCGTAATTCCCCTGGGAATCGTGGGTGAAATTTCGCGGAATTTTCCCCGTCTCCGTTTTAGAAATCGGAACGAAACGTTTCGATCGTTGCTTTTTTTTCGTTGCTTCGACAGGCTTCGAAACGCGTGGGCGTCGTTTCTCCTTTCCTAACCGCCACGAATTAAGCTTGTTAGCTTGGAAAAACAAGGCGAACGTTATTCCTAGGAATACCGTTACAATTATTTCGGAGCCGGGTCATAGCTCGTTTCAAAAATAAATCGTTGACATGTGCGTACGAACACGCTAGCTCGGTAAATTTAGATTAATTAATTGCCGATGGATTTCTCCGTTTCTCTCTTCGATCGATGACGCAAATCGGATCCTTTTCGGATATTCTTTTCAGCCCCTCCCTCCACCCTCCCGTCTTATCAGCAAAAAGGCGAACAAAGGCGACTTTATCGATCCAGGGACCTTCGTAAATTCTCCCCCATCGATCTTCCAACTTTTACTTTCGTCGCGTGCGTATGTGATTTATTAATTGTCTGGTTGAAGGCGCGGCATTGATGGTGTCACAGATCAACGCTTGTAAACTTACGAAACAACGAAGAGGAATTTGTCGTTGTCGTACTTTCGCTTAAATTCAATAAAACATCGACGAAAGTTCGTTCGGGTGACACAGAGACGAGATCGTCTTTATTATTAATTTTTTATATCTTCGAAACGACGGATGTACGCTTACACGTCATATAGGACGCGTAATCTTCATCTTTACTTTATTCATCGATCGAATTCGATTCCTGTGAATTCATCATCAAAAATCGTTTACTTATCCGAGCCTACGCCTATGCACGTCGATAATTTACGCAACGAAAGCGAACGCGTGGTGCGCGTGGACACGCGTATTTTCGACCGTGTCGTT